AAAAAAAAGTATAAATTGTAGAGTTCAATAACCAAAAAATTGTTAAAAATAATTTGAAAACCAAAAGTGTTCAAAATACAAAATTTGGGATCTAAAACTGGCATAACCTTCACCCCACAATCTTACCTTCAATCGCACGTGAGAAAAGTGAAATTACTTGAATAAAAATAAAATTAAAAAAAAAAACAAATTTAGTTTACTGAATAACTAAATAATTTTATTCCATTAATCAATCAAGTCACAAGCCGTTTCCTACCACAAATTCCATCAAGTCACAGCCACTTTCCTATTATAATTTCCCCCCTCCAGTGCAGATGATATGCTGTCTGCTATAATTTCAATATATTCACCATATGGTGTACAAAGCATAATCCATATATTGTCCTCTCCAAATTTTCAACAACTATGTTTAACTAGAAACTCTTGCAAGAGAGTCAACTGTAAATCAAATGGTGCCTACCCTTTGGTTTTCACTGCAGATGTAAATGAATGATAGCCCGGACTGCATCTTCCATGATGGGTATGAATTAGTTTGGTTCATAACACAAAAGGGCCGCCAAAATTAAAATACAATAATTATAGTGGAAACTCCCACTGATGGACGTCAAGATTCCTGGAATCACAAGCTCCCAACAGGTCATTCCTAGATGCACAGCTGCAAGAGAAAAAAGAAAAGGATATAAATCTAATGTGAGCACTCCATTTCTCATCTTCTCTTTTAAAACAAACCCAGGAACCTCTAATTCACGAACTCACCTTAATGAAATTCTTAGATATCTCCAGGCATTGTCAGACTTGGGATTCATTGTGAGTGCCCGAACATAGTACTGGATTGATTCCTCATACATACCCTAGATGAAAAAGAGAAAGGAAAATAATCAGATCAAACTGTATATTTCCATTCAAGGAAAACAGATTAAATAATAAGATTAAGAAATCCACATAATAATCATTTCAAAAAGAATAAGGAGTCAATTGCTTGTTTAGGCTATTCTTCTCACAATGATCTTCTCTTGTACCCACTGCATGGCACCTCCAATAGCACTTGGTTTTCATGGAATTGATTGTCTTATTATTCTAGGCAACAATGATAAAATACATTAGCTTCATCGCGTTTAAGGATCTAGTATCTACAATGTGGAATGCAACTTGATTTCACATTTCACGTATGCATTGTTTATATAACCAACAAGAACCCAACTAATAACATATACGAGGGGAAGAATGTCAGTGTTCATGCACTCCAGAACAGTCATCATAATGTACATGTATTATTTAGGCATCGAAGAGTTTCTGTAATGAAACCCTTTCTACAGAGTAGATTTTAGTTATGCTACAAAAACACCACAAAAAACCTCCAACTATAAGCTTTAAACATTCCATAGCCTTCATTACCTTTCTACGTAAATCTTCAAAAAGAATTGTGCATCGTGGTCAATGATACAATCATGTAAAAACCAATTTCTTTCCCTTATATTTTAGCAGTAGAAGGTTTCTGGGCCCACACGGGGCTTACAAACCATCGATAAAGTGAAATTCATTCACAACAATTACCATTCCAGAAATATTAAAGAGCAACACATACAGGTGCAATCCAGCTATTGCCAAAAGACAGCAGTGACTACACTAGAGCAAAGCATGAGAACAAACCTGTTTTACATAACTGATACCCATGTTTGCCCAAGCACGAATGTAATTAGGCTTCAAATCTAGTGCCTGAAGATAGAGAGAAAAGGCTAAGTTGGGACTTCAGAAAATGAAGATTAGAAAAGAGATGTGGAAGTTGGTAACTGAATACGCTAATGCAAACAAACGACTTCACAATCATAAAACCCCCCATCCACCCTACAAGCCGAAAGGTAAATAACTCTAGAATTGAAATACCTTTGTGTTCAGCATCTAATTAATTTGGCATAAAACACAG